GGAGGTTGGCGAGAGAGCTAACACAGCACGAGGAGGTTGGCGAGAGAGCCACTGGACACACAGCACGACCGTCACACTCCGCCAGCTTCTGCCGTTAAGTGGACACCTGCGATACTCTAGTCCTGTTGGACATGAAGTGACACTGATGATGGGGACCTGAGGCGTCCCCTGCCCCTGACCTGCTGCTGTGTGTGGCTCTCTGGAACTGCTCAGGAAGGGGAGCTTCAGCAAGTGGGCACCCCAGGGCTCACTTCCTACACGTCTGGACAGCAAACTTTCTGGGACAAGCTGCAGTCACCGTTCTTGGCTTTGCTAACAGCCTCTGCTGCACTGGCACAGCTGTGAAGAGCGCACCTCGACCACAGCCTCTAGAGAGCTGGAGCCTAAAGCCAGCCAGCTAGTCTGTCCCTGTCCCTGTCACAGAAACGGAGAAGTGTCTGTTGTGGTGGGTGGTTGAGTTTCGGGATAATTGGTGGCATAGTAAAGGATAATGCATGGGGACATTGTATGCAGGAGGCACGTGAGTGGATGCTCTGGCCAAGGTCCAGAGGAAGTGTTTTATTCTTTACTACTGTCACCCAGTAGCCGTTCATTGGTCTCCAAATAGGAACCTGGCTTTTGGCAGTCTTTTTCTTTTTCTTTTTTTAAAATTTATTCATTTTGTAATTTAGATAGCATCTCATTAAGCAGCACTGGCTGGCTTGGAACTCTCTATGTAGACCAGACTGGTCTCAGACTCACAGAGACCCACCTGCCTCTGCCTCTCAAGTGCTGAGATGGGTCTGATATTCTTAGAGCAAGTCAACCCCTCATGGAGTGAGCCAGGACTCAGCAGGGCACTTGAGAGGTGGGTCTCTGTGAGTCTGAGACTAGGGTGCATGACTGTTAACTCACAGAGGTAGGGGGACACACACACTCACATGCATGCTTGCATGCACACTAATAAAGAGGACTTTCAGATCTTTCTAGAAATCTACTGTTCAAGATTATTTATCCACTGGGCATGGTGGCACACGCTTCTAATCCCAGCACTTGGGAGGCAGAGGCAGGCGAATTTCTGAGAGTTTGAGGTTAGCCTGGTCTACAGAGTGAGTTCAGGACATCTAGGACTGTTACACAGAAAAACTCTGTCTCGGGAAAAAAAAATCTCCCCCAAACAAAAAATAACTCAAAGTAAGTTTAGAACTGGATTGGACTACATAGAAGTACCCTGTTTCCCAAAAACTTAAAGTCAACCAATATAACATGATGGGGCCTGCTTGTTGGGGTTTCTATCCCACCCGGTACCCCACAACCAGCAAGCCCCAGAGAAAATCACACAGAGATCTCCATAAGTTATAAAACTAATTGGCCCATTAGCTCAGGCTTCTTGTTAACTCTTGTAGTTTATATTAACCCATTACTCTTATCTGTGTTAGCCACATGGCTCTGTACCTTTCACAGCAGGGCAGGTCACCTGTTGCTTCTCGGTGGTCTGGGCAGGACTGTGGAGGGAGCTTCCTGCTTTGCAGAATACTCCTGTTCTCTATGCCCCACCTCTACTTTCTGTCTGGTTTTCCCTCCTATACTTCCTTCCTGGCCAATCAGCATTTATTTAAAATATGATTGACAGAATACAGACAGTTCTCTCACACCAAACCAATCAGAAACCTGAGCCTGGGGAAGATGATCCAGTAGGGAAGCAGATGCCATGAAAGCCCTGTGACCTCCACAAAGGTGGAAGAGGAGAACACAGTCCACAGAGTTGTCTTCTGACCACACTCATACCAAGGCATATGCATGCCTCCCCAAACACACACACTCACATGCATGCTTGCATGCACACTAATAAAGAGGACTTTCAGATCTTTCTAGAAATCTACTGTTCAAGATTATTTATCCGCTGGGCATGGTGGCACACGCCTCTAATCCCAGCACTTGGGAGGCAGAGGCAGGCGAATTTCTGAGTTTGAGGTTAGCCTGGTCTACAGAGTGAGTTCAGGACATCTAGGACTGTTACACAGAAAAACTCTGTCTCGGGAAAAAAAAATCTCCCCCAAACAAAAAATAACTCAAAACAACAACAACAACAACAAAATTTATATATCATCTTCCTAATAAAGTTGTTCTTAGCTTTTAAAAGATAATAAATATAATTCAAAAAGTCTTTAAAAAACAGTACAAATCTAAATCAATATTTCCTCCCATAAGGACAGACATCAGTGCTATTCTTGAAGATTGGAAAAATGCATGGGTCCCTAGGACACCTCCATTAGACTTAGTCAGTCTGATTGACAGAGAGCTGGCAGAGTCTGACAGGTGGGTGCAGACCACACATCTGTGACCAAGGGGGATCCCGGCCACCACTGTCCTGATGTCTGGAGGATTCACCCAGCCTCACAGACTTAGCGGTTGGCAGCAGTTGGGAGAGTTCAGGATGGTTCTCATGGGGCAAAGTGGGTGGCACATTGTCTGTAGCTCCGTCCCTGTGGTGGTTTGAGTGAGAATGTCCCCCACAAGCTCATATATTCGGCTACTTGGTCCACAGTTGGTAGAACAATTTGGGAAGGATTAGGAAGTGTGACCTTGTGGGAGGAGGTGTGTCATGGGGCCAGGGTGGCTTAGAGGTTTCAGTAACCCATGCCAATTCAGTTAATTCTCATTCTCTCTCTCTCTCTCTCTCTCTCTCTCTCTCTCTCTCTCTCTCTCTCCTTTCCCCCCTTCTCTCTCTCCCCTTATGCTTATGGATCAAGATGCAAGCTCTCAGCTACTACACATACACCGTGCCTGCCTGCCAGCTGCCATGTTGTCTGCCGTGATGGTCATAGACTCTAACCCCCTGGAACTGTGAGCCCCAGATTAAATACGTTATTCTCTAAGCTATCCTGGTCATGTCGTCTTAGCCCAGTATAGAAAAATTACTTGGCCAGTCCCTGAGGTGATATCAAATCTGTCACCTCTGTCATGCCCTGATTTGAAGAGACCTGGACTCTCAGGAATCTGCAGAGTGAAGGTGACCCATCACACGATGATATTGTCTAAGGGGTGCTTGCCAGGCAAGCAGAACTCGGCTTGGCAGCAAAGTCATGGAATGGGATTTATCAGCCAGCTTCTTCTGTTGTGGTGTGGTAGAGGCTTTGGGACAGGGTCTCCTGTAGGTCAACGAGGCCAGGAGCTGACTGAGCCAGGCTAGCCCTGATTTTCCTGATACCACCTCTGGAGGGCCTGGGGTTCC